TATACATAAAAACAAACTTCTAATTCCAAGCAAAATAAGAATTTCAAACAGTACTCAAAATCAATATTCCATTGTTCTATATTAGGTTGTATTGCATACTATAGTAATTTCCTATACAAATGATACCAGTATTGATTTTTTTATTAATTAGATAAAAAATATGTCAATCAATTGGATGAATCGATGAAGTATTTTGGCAGATGGCTTCTTGGGATTATTGTTACGGCGATTACTCTCATATTTATGCTCTTTGTTCTAACCAATATCTATAAACGAGTATCCGTACAACAACGATCTGTTGATCAATTCATTAATTCATATGATCAATATGCAGCAGATCAAGATGATACTGATGATAATACATTTGACAGTAATGAACAGATCATCGATAGCTTCCAGGAAGCTAACAATGATATGGAACAATTTGAAGAAGCTAACATAAATTCCGCTTTATCACAATATTACAACGATGAATCAAAAAAATTAATTGAAGGTTTTTTTTTTTTTTTTTGTTGCACGTTCAATCACTCATTTTATTTTACTTTTTTATAATTAAAATCGAAATTTTCACTAAAAAAAAATTTAATTTCAAAAATTGCATTATATCAAAATTTTGATATAAAATTTTCAAAATTCCTAACATATCATATTGTATTTGTTTTTCAGATGAGATGATAGAAGCAATGCAAGAGATAAAATTAGATGATGCAATATTTACCAAACTTTTAAATCCATTAATTATCACAGAAACACCTAAAACTACTTTGTTAAATGCTAATTTTTTAAATATACCTACTTCCATTCTTCCTACCACTATTACATGTAAGACTATTTCGGATTCTGTTACTTCTACCATCACTACAACTAAAAAATATAAATTTAACGCTTATATTAAAAATCCTTCTCGTACTTTTACAAACCTTCCAAAATATCCATTTGAAAGTTCAAATGTCGCAGATTTATTTTCAATCTCTACCACAATCGCCAATATGCAATCTTTTGGAAGAAATACCAACTCAGACACGTCGATTAATCGACAATTACAAATTTCCAGTAATTTAACAACAACAAATCCACAATTTACTGGAAATAATAAAGAAAGCGATATTAATCAAATTGCTAAGACAGCAATAAAATTTACCACAAATTGGCAAAATTTGCAACAAATGACAATTTCAACGTCAAATCCTACGATAATTTCCACACAGCTATCAGAGAAAAGCAGGGCAGCATTGACTGAAAAATTTGAAGCTGAAATTGAAGATGAAAATGCGAAAGATGATTATGAATATGAAAATCTTAAGAATGGTTATGAATATGAAAATCTTAAAGATGAAAGTCAAATTTTTAGTACTATTTCAACTTCAACTATTACTGCTACGACAAGTACTACCAGTATTACAGTACCTGAAGTAAGTTATTATTTTAGATTGGTTGTTTTTTTGTTGCGAAAAATTTAGTAATTTATTCACTTAAAAAAGACTTGAAAACACTTAATCGTTTTAATTTTATTTCTGGCATCACTCATTATGATAGAGTGGAATTGTTTACTTTTACCTCAATTTTAACTTTTTGTAGTTAAAATTGAGGTAAAAATCAAAAATTTATGCAAATCCTTCCAGAAAAAAATTATTCTACTTTGAAAATATATTTATTTTCATCTGATACTAACGAATATTCCATATATCGAATAAAAATTAAATTGTAAATTTTAGTTCACTCCAATATCACAATTCCATCATCATCACCATCATCACCATCATCATCACCATCATCATCATCATCATGATCAATATGAGCTCTATGATCGTCGATCACCAATAATTGTGACAGCCCTATTCGATATAGGTCGTGGAAAATGGCCCAGATATACTAGAACTTATGAGCAGTATATGTATTACTTAAAGCATTTATTAAAATTAAAAAACTGTCTTGTTATTTATACTGATAAAAAGGGAGCAGAATTTGTACGACAAATGAGAAATAATCATAATACTCAGGTCATATTAATTTTTTCCTTTATATCTATTTTTTTTTTTTGAATATCAAAATTAGAACTAATTCAGATTTAATTTTAAAAAAAAAAAAAAACTGCCTTTATCGTTTGAAATTTTTTACATGTTTCAAAATAGCTGATCAGCAATCATATCATTCATAAAATGATAAATGATAATTTTGATGATAAATGAAATTTCAGATATTTGAAATGTCAATGCATGAACTTCCTTTGTATAGATATCGTGAAGAAATGGAAGATATCATACGACGTGAACAAGAAAGTGATGAAATTTTTTTCAATGAATTTAATAATTACATTTAAAATATTGTAGAAACAATTATGGAAGAAACTCTTTTAGACAGTAATTTTTAAACAAACAAAGAGAGAGAGAGAGAGAGAGAGAGAGAGAGAGA